TTCGGCACCCACTGCATCTTAGGGGCCCACGGCTCGTAAATGGCGCAACGATGGGAAGACTCCGCTTTGGTCCTCGTAAAGCATGGGAGTTGGCACCGTGCGGGAAGAGAAAGCAAGCCAGGAAGGGAAATGTAAAAGCTTTGCCTCTTCTCCTGACCGATTATAAGTTATAACAATAATGGGGGCTTATACGTTTTTAGAATTGATTTTGCTACGGAGCGTTGCAGAAATGAAAATTTTTTTAGTTATTCATATTTTGTATTTTAATAAATTTCGTACTTTATACATTAGAGTGTAATCATTTTATTCTCTCTAAAGTCGTCCAACTTACATCATCGTACCTTGGCATGGAGATATTCTGAAAGAAGACGGTGAGAAAACGACTCGAAACTTATAAATAATTTTAAGCCGAGGTGTATACTACTCATCCCTTTGGTGTTAAAAAATTGTTTGCAAGTAGGCGTTAATGTATTCATCAGTATTTTTGATTTTAGCGTGGTTGCTGGTAGTTCTTAAGATAAAATGTAATTTTGTATAGTGTAATATTTTCAAACTTCATTTGGAAGTAAGAAAAAAATGTTTCACAAAATATCGAATTGAAAAATCGTCTTTAGTTTCGACACAGAAAATATTTTCATGTCAAATCACGTTAACACGTCATTCTTTTGTTTATGGTTGATTCATTCCTTACATTAGGAGACCTGAGCTTTCTTCCATGGCATCTCCTATTTCCTTCTCCTGCAATCTCCGGCGGCGTCTCCGCCTTCTCGGCACCCGGTAATGGGCCCTATTGACACGCGGGGCGGTAGTGGCTTTGTCGCGTGAGCTATGAGCAATCGCGCCGCCACTAACATTTTTCACTCTTAACAAATCTGTTCCATTTTCCGCGGCGAAGTTTTTTGCATCCCCTGCTTCCTTCCCTTGCCGTCTCGGCCGGGGCTCCCTCACATCCCCTCCCCAACCCGCGCCTTCGCCACTTCAACCTCTCCCCTCCGGCGTCGGGTCGGGTGAAGAGATGTGGGACGCAGGTCGCGCCGCACCCGCCGAACCATCGCCTGTCAGGATTCTTTAATTTAGAATCCCAATTACCGTTTGGTTTCTCGCGCGAGGTGGGAACGAGGCGGTAGGATCCGGCGCCGCCGTGCCAGGAGTGCGTGGGAGACGGTGGGGTTGGAGGACTAAGGAGCCGGCCGAGGACGGCCGGAACGGGCGCCGAGAAATATCGCCCGGCCGTGCCAAGACTGTGCGAGGTTGCAGTCGTCGCGACACCGCGAGACAGTGCGGACCGCACGCCCATCGCACCTCGGCAACGCCCCGCCCCCTCCACCCATCCCCCAACCCACGCCCACGCCTACGCCCGTGGCCGCCGCCTTCCGGCCCTCCACCCCCGCCCCCGCTCACGCGCTTCCGTGCTCCGGCTCTCGCGGCCCCCTTCCTCCGCCCACGCCACCGCCGCCTCTTCAGCGCTCGTAAATTAAACTGCCGACTCTGAAAATGTATGAAGCAGGTACAAGGAGCGGGAGACTCCTTCGGGGAGGGAAAGAGAGGACCGTCTTCTCCACTTTCAGACGCCGCCCGCGCTCTCCCCGTCCCTTCTCCATCCCTTGCGCATCCTCCCCCACCGCCGACGCCTTACACCACTCGCCGCTGCAACCACCGAAGCGGTTTCCACGTCTGTTCCTCTCCGATCAGCCCGCCACTACCCTCCTCCTCACCACCGCCGTCGTCCCCGACACTACTGCAAGCGGCGTCCCCGCCGCGCCGAGCCGAGACGGACCGGAACCAGTCGTGTGTTTGAAAGGAAAGTTGTAAAACAGAGGAAGGGAGGGAAAGGGGCAGAGATTTACCCCATAAATCCTGACGCCGCCGCAGCACGCGCTTCCTATTTACAAATTCATCACCGGAGCATTCTCCGCCCGCTCCTCGGTTCAAGTTCTGATGATTTCGTTAGACGCTGCGTGCGCCCCGAAGCAGCGCGCCGGGTGGTGGGAGTGGAGGGAGCGGGGCGGGGCAGAGGGGGGAGGTGGTGCAGGAGGGAACTTCGCGTGCCCGCCGGCCGTTCCGCCGGCCCCACCCATGTTTGCTTCCTGCCTGGAAATAATTTCAAATCATTAGCGGCCACGGGAAATGAGAGCTGTCCGTGAAGCTCTCGTTCTAACTCGGTTTTCGACCGCCTCTTCCATCGTGCGTTATGCAGTGATACGTATTAGCGATGAAACGTCCGCCCTACTGTGTGGTTGCAATCATTCGATATCCTCTCTTTAGAAATATGAATTTGAACAAGGCAGTCGCTGATACAAACTTAAATGCAAATTAATATGGTGAAACACCATTTTGGATGATTTGTCCAAAATGGCTTTTGGTACAGTAGCAATGACAACATTAGTTTTCATTGAAATGTTTTACCATCTCAAATCAGTTGCCTCTGTACCTCCATCGACTGAATTGCTCTGCAATTAGTATCAAAAGACTCGTGGGTTTTTCGGATCTCGGTGTTCACTAATCGATTGGCCCTCCGTGACACAACACGGGAAACGCAAAATATGACATACAAACGTCCAGATCGAGTTACGAACCTACGGCTCTACACAGACCATCATCGAATAGAATAACGCTGTAGCTTCTAAGGCCATTCATGCCAACTGTAATTGTATTTTAATATGTTTTATATACGTGTGTTAAGGCATGATGAACATTTTTGCGATTGAGGTGATTATTTACATATCGAAAAACCTCCCACTGCCCTACTGTGATATATAATTCTTTATTGGGACGCCATGTCGAATTACATTAATTTATTTATGCTACTGTAATTCTAGTGAAACGTAATTTTAAATTTATATTGAAAAACATTTTAAATAAAAAGTCTTTACTTAGGATATGCATCTCGAGATGTTAGAGTTTTACAAATGAATTTATATTTAAAAATATCATGGTTATTTTAAAGATAACCCTTTTATCGTATATTTTAATGAATCCATTTTATTGATATATTAGAGAATGTAAATTTGTTAATGTATTGAGAGAGTTGCGCATAACGTTATTGACCAGTAAATGAGATAGGCTAAGTAGACGATAATATTACATACATTGTTTAAAAATTAAACCATAAACATGCAGTATTTATGTTATTGTAATTTTATCTAGGCGAGAAAAAATATTGTAATAACTATTAGAAAATGTTGAAAATATGAAAATGAATGAAAATCGTCCTTTATAAATTTACCGATTTTTTATGTTGAGCCACATCGATCAAGGAATATCAGTTTAGGGGAAAATCCTATAAACAGTTTAGAATGCTAGAATTTTCTATAGACGGACAGTCAGATGTTTTGCCGTAAAAAATGTTTTAGGTATCAAGGACTCACAACGTGGATTTTGACCACTCAACGTATTAGAAAAAAATTACTTCGTGTGTTTAGAAACACGAATTGTCCACTTTCTCGACGTCAGGGACCCAAAATACGTACCGAAAATTGTCACGTTGTGTTGCAGCATTAAAATACTTTCTCTTTACTACATAAGTTAAAGTAAAAATTGTTTAGTAGCAAGTAAGATAAGTAGATATTTACAGGTACCACTTATATAAATTACTTAATAAAATAGGCAGAATAGACAATTTCGATACGAATTACTCTCATACCATGATAAGAACTTACACATAATCATCGTCTTATTAGTTATCACGTATTCGTTATCTCCAAACATTCTGTTTAATATTAATTGTATCTCCAGATCAGTGATCCCTTTGTATTGATAGGAGGTGCATGTAAAACCCCAGAGGTGATACACATGATATTCAAGAATGTTTTCCACTGTAATGCCTATGCCCTGTCGACGAGTTGCATCAATTGTTGTGCACATAAGCCTTATTACGTGTATAAACCAGCGATTTAAGCCGAATCAACATCACAATAAAACCCTTTTAAATGAACAGTTTCAGCTCCAAAAAAGACAGCGATTACAATAAACATGACATTGTGGTTACTTGGAATATACCTGTATATCTTTGCAAGCCAACGTGTTTACTTTTCTTGCTTTACGAGACCTTCATTAGAACACCCCGCGTTCATTAACGACACTTCTTCGTAAAACACGCTGGAAGAAGTTGGTGTTTCTTTAAGATGAGTTCCAAAAAGAGTATATTTCTCTTGGAGAGGGAGGGAGAGAGAGAGAGAGAGAGACAGACAGACAGACAGATAGACATATAGACAGACAGATAGACAGACAGATAGACAGATAGACAGATAGATAGATAGATAGATAGATAGATAGATAGATAGATAGATAGATAGACTGACAGAGAGGGGGGAGTGGGAGAGAGAGGGGCTCAGATCCGTGTCATGTTGTCAACTTGAGTGGTCGTCATTTCACCTGTGATGCAGCAGAGTGAATGCTGAGACTATACCTTTCTTTTACTGTCGCGCGAGCCCTTTTTGTCTCGCCCCTTGAATAGTCATACTTTTTACTGCCTCTCGAAATACTTATTTCCGCTGAACATTGAACTTGTTCGTGAGATTTAAGGTTACTCGAATAGCGCGCTCTTTCTTCAAAGTACAGCGGAAATACGACGAGGTTCAGATTGGCTTCGTTGGAAGCGGCAATAGCAAGGCCACTCTGCCTGCGAGGATATAGCTTTTAAAGAGAGGGAAAGAGAGGGCAGAGCGCAGAATCGTGCAAAGGTAGTTGACTCCGCCGCAGAGGAAGAATCTAACGTGGCAGTTGCCCAAATGACGATAAAATGCGAGAAAATGAGCTGGCATTTTGCAAGGCCGCCATATAAACGTGCCAAATGCATTTGTCGTTACTGAATGATTTCCAACAATTATATCAATTCTCGCCTTTTCTAATATGTTTTTGTTTGTAATTTTCTTTAAACCCTTTGTATTCTGGGATAAAGAACAAAATTAAATTACTCGATACATCCACAGATATTGAATCTAAAGAAAGTAGCATACTCAAAATATACATTAATATGTTACTCATCACGTTATTATAAAATGTTATCATTGAGAGAGTTGTCATTGAGACCATTCACAGATAACAAAGGTACAATAGGAGTGTCAAATAAGGAAAGTTTTTAGCACTTTTTGATAGACTTTTGAGTTATATGTCGTTTTTATCTCTTTCGATTATAATAAAATTGAGTTCTTCTTTGCTTTGATCGTTCTCTTATTTCTCTAACAGGTTTTCGCTTTTAGATATTACTTCATTCTGGTATACGGTATTATACAAAAGGCAGGACAAAATGATTCTGCAGCATATTGCATTGTCTTTTCATTGCAGTGGATTGTTTCGATTGAATGTGAAATTGTGTGCACGTGTGTCCCTGCAGTTGCCATTTTTATTTAATTACCGTTGTAATAGTTCATGGAGTTTATACCAGCTTTATAATTCGTTCTTTGATTTATATTTGCCATATGTTTACACTGGTAATACAAGCTGTGCTGCGGCTCTACCGTAAAAATTCGTTTGGGGGGTGTTTGCCGATGTATTGAATAGCTCATACTATTATCACAACTAAAACATTTGGAAGAAACGGAAGTGTATAAAATAAAGCTAGAACACGTTGTTATGTAACTAAAATGTTAATTGTTATATCTATTCGTTACTGGTATCGTCTCCTATATTATTTCATTAGTATACATACTTTTTGCAGCTTTCACATGAAACCGATATTTACAAATGAGGTCTCTATAGAAAGATATTTTTATAGAGGCGTAACGAACTGCACTTTAACTTTAAAAATGTGAAGGATTTGTTTAATAAAGGAATCTACATATTCATGTCAAATGCAACCCGCAGCAGTCTTTCAGTTATCGTCAAATAACTCCTAAACGAAGCGTTCTATGTCCTCAAAATCGAAAATTATTAAGCCATAGGCCTCAAAGAAACGTTTCTCATGCCATAATCTACAGGATGAGATATTTTTGGACATTCTATTGAATTTTTCGTGCTTCGGTACTTATCGATACTATCAACGCCACCTATATTTATTGTGATGGTGGCCATATTTGCGACGCCACGCTGGGAAGGCTCTGATTCCTCTATCTCATGCTATGCACTCTTTCTCTATACATTTAGATTTGCGATGACTGGCGAGGTTTAAGTGCATAATTATTAATTCAAGATTCGCAAGATTTGCAGCAACAACTAGAAGTACTATTAATAGTTGCTTGAACCGATGAAGATTGTTTCTGATGCGTGCAGTGAAAACATTCTTTTACCGATTTTCCAAGGTCTACAAGTTCTGTTTACATAATTGTGGAGGGATGTGGGTGTACAATAAAGACTGAAGACGTGTCTTGTTAGGTTTGGTTTGGGTTTTACCTATACTAGTATTTCCGTTATCAACAGTGATTCGGTGAAAGTTCAGTCATGTATTTTTCTCAAGAGTGAAAAGCTTTTTTCATATTTTGTGACTATCACCAAAAACGAAAAGCTTGCTGTCAAAGAATATTGAATAATTACTTCAATTCAATTATTTTTAAGGAAGTCTTGTGAATTGTTCCAGGAAATCACTCGATAATACTGCATAAACCTTTATTAAAAATGTTTCCATCATCAATTGCACTGTTTGTACTTTTGTTTGATATTTTCTAAGTACGAAATTACATTTATACATATTTTTAACAAGTAAACACGTTTCATTAACATTTTTTCTTCTTAATGGAAACGATAGGGAAAGATTGTGGATTCACTTGCGAGAGTTCTTGCACGGGTACAGTAGTAAAGAATTATTCAGGTTAACATTATTCATGAGCAAACTTTATGACTAAGAATTTAGATACTTCATGAACCGTCTCCAATTAATGCACTAGAATCTTTTGAAGATGCATTGTAAGCCGTTTTCGGCCCATGGCTAGAATTTCTTGCCCAGTTTACCAGTCCAAAGTTGTACTCGGCTTTAGTCACTGTCAAACTACGTAATACAATAGAAACAACAAACTTCATAAAAATTTGATTCCTCGAATTCACAGCGTACTGCTGAACTGCTGTTTCACTCTTCTGTAATACTCCATCGTGCGGTCCGTATTGTATTACACATTATAACTGGATAATTGTATTTTGGGCTGGCTCAATTACTTTGATTAGTGTGTAAACTTGAATACACAGCTCTTATCACTTTGCCTCACCTTAAGTTGAATTTTGTACATTTGTCAAATTTCAAGCAGATATTATTACTGAATCCATTTAGCACGTACAGCATTTAAAGAGAGTCGCTTCAATCCTAACATACAATTTTAGCTCATCCATGTAAAAAATGTTACTGATCTTTCACGATAATGAAGCCGACTAATACAAGCGATTTAAGCGAACCAACTAATCCAAAGCAGTAGACAACATAGTAAATCAACTTAAAACAATCCCACTATTAATGTAATTTTTTTTGTCTCTTCTATTTGCTATCAGCGGGATGACCTAGTACTCCAGGATTTCGTACCAGTCTTGTACCAGGATTTCGTACCAGTACTGATCTCATTAAGTCAGGGATGTAATTGATAGATCAAGGGTCTTCGGTATCAAGACGTGTGAAAGACTATCGAAGATCTTCTGGTAGTCACTCGATAACGTTGTTATTACAATTATTATCTATATTATGTATTTTCAAAGCGTGCAGAAATTGAAAACAAATAGAGAAAAGTGTCTATGATAGGTATATTTTCGTTCGCTACACAAGAAATTCGGAAAAAATCCAAAAACAATGAAATGGTTCGACTTTGAAAGAAAGTTCAAATATAGATTGAGTTACTCCAACTATTCTTATATTAAGAACTTACAACATTGCTGACGCCATGAAACAGCATGGCTCCAAGAAAGATGCCTTCAGGCATGAAATATTTGCTAGTCACGTGTTACAAGCAACATTTTTAATATTCTTGGTATGGAAATAACTGATGTATTTCAAATACACACACATTGATTATTTCATGTTTCGGCGCGTCAACTGTTAGGGTAATTAGTTCCGTTAGTGTAGTGCATGCTCGTACCACGCGGGATGGTTGTGGTCTTCCACAGCTGGATAGCGATATCCGACGCCGACCTATACGACAACTGCCTTTCTTAACCAGATATCTTCCTCCAGTGGAGATCCGTCCCAGTCAGAACAAGCTCTGAAGCCCCCGTCTGGTCCCCCGGCATGTGTGGTAATGTAGTGCATGTAAGTGTGTGTGTAAGGAAGGCGTGAGGAAATGGGGTCTGCTGCAGCATTCGCCTGGTGTTGAATGGAGACACCTTGGAAAAATCCCGATCAGAGCAGCTAGTCGCTAGAATTCTCAGCGCCTGAATTCTACCTAGCTGGGAATCCAGTGTCGAAAATACTGCCAACGTCGAAACACTAATCCTAGGACCCCCAGACAGGGGTACAGCAGTGACGTCAGTTGATGCTCTGAACCACCTTAGCCGGTTTGTGTGAGAGTGTGTGTGTAATTGCAGTTTTCTTGTAATGTTATTTTGTTGACATGTGTTTCACGAGAGTGTTGTTATTTGCTTTGTGCGTTGCAGGCAACTACGAGGCGGAGAGCGAGGCGAACAGCGTGGGCAAGGGCCGCAACCGCGTGCGCGTGACGCTGGGGCGCGGGGACCTGGGCGCGCGGTACGAGTGCCGCGCCCATAACGCCGCCCTCAACGCGCCCATGGTCAGCGCCGTCAACGTGCTCGTCAACGGTGAGTCCTCCTCACACATCGCCTTCTTTCTCTGTTTCTTCTTCCCGTTAAGGCCAGCTGGGGATCACGTGCGGGGTTGGATTCATCCTTAAGTGTTCTCTATTCTTTTACTTCCAATAATTGTACATCCTGACAAATCTTTTCCCTCTTTCTTCCTGTTAAGGCTGCTTAGAGAAAACGTGTGGGTTTCATTCATTTATTTACGTTTTCTATTCCTCTTTTTCGGACATTTCTTCTTCATTCCGACCCTTCTATTTCCTATTTTTCCTCTTCTTTCCGCAAAGGCCAGCCAGGGATCGCATGTAAATTTTGAATTTACGGGGAGCATCATCGCCAGATGCAAGATAATACTTTATAGTAATATTATTGTGGTGGCAGTAAAGTGTAATCTAATGGATTTTGCATATTTGTGTTGTGAAGTAGATACTCTTTTACAAAATTATGTAACGAATGTAAATTTCCATATTTCTACATTCGTAGGTATTTTTTGTAATAACGTTTGTAGTAAAATGTTATATATTCGGTAAATTTTCTGGCAAATAATACAGAACCTCATAATAGTAAATTAACAAATAAGTTATTGTTGAATAGTTGGGTTTGCTACAACAGTAGGTTATGAAATGATATTCCTGGCACGCTACGCTACCTGGAATTAGTTTCTCTGCCCACGCCGTGTCCAGCCCAGTCTTTGTTCGGTTTGGGGGGTCAGTGGCGCCGACTGCGCCGCCCCCGCCCTTCGCCCCGCTCTCTGGCGTCGTCCGCGGCACCAGCATTCTCAGCGCGCGGAACAATGCTGCGTCGCGCTTTGACCAGGGCTACACAGCTACACCGCTACAAAGCGACCGCGAAGGAGACGCGCGGCACCCCCTCCCCCCGCCCGCTCTCATCCACTATTCCCCTCCCCTCCCCCTCGCGCCACCCCCTCCGACTCCCTTTGCCACGCCCACCTTTTTTCTTGTGGCCTTGCGTCGTCTCGCCGCGTTGACCGTGGCACGTCCCCGTCTCACTCGCCGCGTTGACTGATTTTTCAGTCCCAATTATTTCATTTGTGAGCTATTTCTCGCCTTTGCTCAACTTGTTTAGATCGGCTAAGGATAAAAAAGGACCCAGTATCGCCAGAAGTTTATACTAATTCCCTGTTCTTGCGGCGATGTATACAACGGGCCGACTCAACGGATCATAAACGTTTCTCCAAACCAAAAGAATCTGTCGTTTTGGACAAACTGAGAAGTCTGCAGTGCGCTTCTTCCGGCTGTGAACACTATATCAGATTTGAAGATGTTGACGTTTTATCCCGTATGGAACACTGCCATCCCCATTTACACCGTGAGGCCATTGAGATTCGTACACATCTTGTTAATTATCATAGGAAAGAGAAAAGGATAAATGTCCACGCGCTACGATACCCGCACTCCGTTGGGCGAAGCCTAAACCGTTCCTATGCAAACAGCCGACACTAGCGCCCGAGCCGACTATCACCACTGCCCCAGAGCGTTAAACAAAGATCAAATATATGCCAGTTACCAGTGAGCCGAAATGACACTGGTGTACCCATTAGCCACTGAAGATGTCTGCCGCAATCGCAGACGAAAATTTGGACACAGAATGTGCGATAGACAACGGCTATTCAGCCCGGAAGGTATTTTTAGTAGTACATCCGACCATGTGAGCCTTCATTATTGCTCACCTCGTTTACCAGTCCAATTCACCTCGCGTCTACCCCGCTCACGCCCCTGTCTTCCGTACGTCGCCGGTCCCTCACTGGCTGTTCCCCATTTTTACCTCAACCCCTAAAACACATCGTATGTAGAGCCTATATTATTTTCGTCACCCCCCCCTTCTTGCATTCTACTACTTCAACAGAACAAAGTCGACTTTGCTTCTCATACTATCGTATTTTTCAGTTCTCTCTTATTCTGCCCCATACCTCGCTCGTTTGAATCCTTTTAAACCGTCCGCTTCTCTCTGCCTGTTTCTCGTCCCTTCCACCCTGTCAGCGTCGTCGAAGCCTCTTCCCATCCGCATCCCCATCCCCATTAGCGTCACGTTTGGCGCACCGCACTCCCGCGCCTCTGTCTCCGCCGGAAGGGAAATTAAGTCGTATGGAGGCCTTAACGACTCTCGGATCGTCACAGTTAGAGGATAATTAAGAAGGCGGTAATTTCGGCGGTATGGTTCGACGCCGCCGCCACCGCCGCCGCCGTCGGCGCCCGGGATGCCGTTAGCGGTTACGGCTTACTTTCGCGCCGGATTGTTCCTCTCCGTTCCGTTCAGCCGCTAGCTGCGCCGCTGTCACCGCGACACTTGCGTGGGAGCGGTTAAGAAGAGCGCCTGCAACTTCCAAGGCGTAGGAGTTGTCACTCAGTGTCGCAGAACGTACTGATTGTGGGAAAGTCAGGTTGGGACGAACAGGAAAAACGCGGAAGTTATTTCACTTCAAAATATGTTTTTTTTTAACAACGATTTGAAAAATAATTTAGCAAACCATTGGTACCCTTGTGACTGAACGTAGTATTATGTTAAGTGGTGGTACTTTTTAGAAACACATTGATGTTTAATGAATAAGAATAGTTGTTGATCTTTCAAAGTTGGGAAAGACCTCAATAATTCGCGTTGTTCGGTTCTAGAAATTGCTCACTTGAATCCATGGATGGCAACGTGTTATTTTATATATTTTTCAACCAAGAGTTCAAATTCAGAACTGTCAATATTGAACAATTTCGTGTCCATTTTCTTGGCATTTTCTAGTAGTTAAAAGAATGCTCACATTCATTGTAGGTATTTAGAAATTCTTAAATTGTTTGGAATTGTATTAATCGATACAATTGTTATTTCGTAAGCGTTAGATTTAAATACAGAGTTTTGAAACGAGATAATTTCACCTGTGTGTATATGGCATTATCCGTAACTGTACTACAATTGAATTTATTATTTTGAAACGGATGCATCTCTGTCAGCTGTTGGTCGAGCACATGTTTTTTTCTTTAGACGTGCTTATTCTTACTAAATATAATATCACATCGTCTTAGATTATATCAAAGAAGAGCAAGTATGTGGACGTTTACATGTACAAATCTAAAAGTATATATACTGAATCAAATAGTAAACTTTGTTCAGTTTCTCAAACATTAGATGTGTGGTCTTTTCAATTTTTCATATGAGGGCTCAGGGAAAAAGCATATAGAAATTCTTAAAGTGGATAAGGAAATCTACAAGACCGAATACGATGCGGGGCATAACAAACGGAGTGGAAGGCGCGAGCGCAGCGTGGCGGCAGCGCACGTGTAAGGCCAACCCACGTGGCCGCGGGAGAGACGTCTGCAATAAAGAGCGGCACTCCAAGGCGCGTCGTCGCACGTAATTCGGGTAACAGGTCGTCTGCGGGGCTCTCGCCGCCGAGTAACTCAACGGGATCAAGGCTCGGCTGCACGCGGGGGCGACGGCGGCGGCGGACGAAACCGCAGCCGCGAGGGGAAACGCAACAGAGCGCGCGTGCACACAAGCGCGACGCCAGGCAGGCAGACAGGCAACTGGGAAGGAGGCGTGCAGGCAGGGCTGTTGCGCTCTGTCGTACATCAGGTTCGATCCCCGGCGGGTGCTTACGGAGACATGCCGGCGCGCCCTGGGGACCGCCGACATTGATGAGCCCCGGGGGCGGCCGCATCCCTACCCGGCCTCACCGCGGCTCTGCCTCTCCCCTCCCTCACCCCCCCCCGGAACGGACTCCCGCTCACCTCTTCACCCGCCCACCTCTCCTCGCCGCCCCGCCCGGCCGCTTGCCCTTCCCGCTCGTTAGGGCGGCCCCGGGGGCGCGCGCAGATCAATGGGGAGCTCTCCAAAGAAGCGGGCGGGCGCTGCGGGACGCGGCAGGACGGGAGGGCGCGGAGTGAGCGGGGAGGGGGAGGAGGAGGCTTCGTTCCGTGACGGAGGCTGTGACCGCGGGCGTATTGGGGACGCTGCAGGAAACACACGTGTCAGACGCTTGGCTGTGTGCGCACGCGGAGGTTTGCGGTGAATCGTGTTGCGTCCTTGTTTGACCACTGGCGCGTTTACAGTACACGCGCAGGCAGCCAAGTCGATACACGTGACCTTACGCAATCTAAGTGCTCGGCAATAGCGTAGATATTGACACGCCAACTTAAGAACTCCTGTTTGCTTTCGCATGGTTTGCAGTCGAAACATATTGTACTGTTTTGGATAAAACAGCTTACCTAACATTACATATTAATATCAACATGCATTTTAAACGTTTTATTTTATTTGGAAGAAAAAAGATTTATAATTATTATTTGTGACGAATCCAAACCTGAAAAAAATATTTGCAATTATTTATACAATGCTAAAAAAGAAAATTTAATGTTTATTTAATGTTCCTTTGCTGGTGCATCGTGTTAAGGAAACATGGTGTACCAAATAATAATTATTCCTATCTTAAAAATAGTTCGGTTTTCTTAATCCTGTTTCTGATCGTTAGTTTTATATATTTAATGCAAAAATCACAAGAAGACCCAATAAGTCGCGATCTTTCCTACAGAAAAATATCATTCTTATTTACTTCCCAATAATTCTTTATGCCTTGCCATCTCGCCTGAATAACATGCTCTGCGATCGACTCCCTTGGCAGCCTGGCCTGGGACACTCGTCGCCGCGACCAACGAGCACGACTGGCAGTACGGGAACAGCCTTCGTAACAAATGGATTAATTAAGAAACTCCAAGTTACGGGGATTTAAATAAGGAATAAAGTTGAGAGTTAAAGAAGAGCAGCAGAAGCACGAAGAGGTTGCCGCGGTGATGGGAGAAAGAGACGGAGAGAGGAAAGAGGAGCAACGCTGCTCGAATCTCGAGCGAAAGCGAGACGAGGAGGTGAAATAAAAAGCTGCGGAGAGCGTAACGAGAGCGCCCGCGTTTTACAAGATAGCCCGTTCCCTACAAGACCTCTGGGCTGGTGCGTGGCATTATCAGCGCGAACCAGGGCTGCGTGCCTCCGCCCCCCCCCCTCGTCACCCTTCCCTTGCGTAGATCTACGCCCTTTGCTCTAGTAGTCGCAGAACATCTCATTTTAGTAGAATGCCTGCGAAAGCATTTTGCTTCTCTTATTTCGTTCGTAGTGCTTTTTTTCGTTCTTTACGTTTATTTCTAGTCTTGGCCCAATGGTTTCTTGCTGATCTGGACTTGTTACCGTTTCAAACTGGACTGAGAGATATAATTCAGACATTTCTCTGCAAAAATTCTGAGTTGTTTATACTTATTTTGAGGAGAGTAATAAAATTCTGGAAAAAAGTAATAGCAAATCTTAATGTCAATGTGGTCATTCACAGAAAAAGTAATAAACAAATTACATATTCTTTTTCATTTTTAGAAGCCTAGCTATAGTAGAATCTGAAAAGTAATTCCCAAATTTGTAAACATTACCTTCTATGGTACTCATTCTTCCAGGCCAAAGACAGGCACACATATTCGAATGAGTGATATATCCGGCCACGTCTTTGCATGGGAGCGGAAGCGACAAGGATGAGGAAGGAATGATCGCGCGTGATCCGTGGCCCATTTTTAAGATACTACTTCGGCATTAGGCTGCTATTTCTCGGAGAAACCACGGAAAACTACCGAGTAGGCTTTTCTTGGGATAGGAAAACTACGGTATTTAGAGTTAGTAGCTCGTAGCTATAGATATTGTCGAAAATTTGCCACCGTCGGGACTTCAACCCAGGTATCAGAGTCACTGTAGAAACAACAACAATACGGGCTCTGAGGTGTCAGCCGCTATATAGTTATTGCAAATAATATGCCAACCTATTGCTATTAAGACAGGAACCATCATGAACAAAGATGAGAGAGAGAAAATTGCACCGAAGAGAGGAACAAAGTCAAGCTGAGGGAAGAAATGTTGGAATATGGGAATAAACTGCAGCTCTAAAGAAATGCGGATGTAGTAGACGTGGGGTGAGAGAGATATAGGTAGGGAGGGGAGAAGGGAGCAGGAAGAGAGAGGGCGAGCACGCCGGGGCGAGGCCGCGTCTCTGTTCAGACAAGGTAACGACGACGGGGATCTCAGCTTCAAAGCGAGGTGACGTGGCGAGTTGAAAGTGGTTTTTGTCACCCCGGAGCGCTAGGAAGATTAATACCCCGCTCATTAATTAAAAATCATATCGTAATATCAGTAATGCGATGCAAATTTGCGGAAGTGTCGCTGGCTGCTAACGTGCTATCAACTGTTCAATTATTCATGTGTGCGCGCAATTACCGACCGGCGAGGTCACGCCCCCTCTTCGCTGCCCTGCGAGCACTGTTACTTCCCCTTCGTTCTCGACCCACGATCACTCTCCGGGCGGCCGTCCGCCATGTGTGCCGTCCTCGCCCCCGCGGGGTTCGTCCTCTTTCGCTGGCGCCGCTCGTGCTGCGCAGCCGGTCCCCGGGTGACGGCGGCGCGCGCTTTGGAAAATGGATTTTTAATTAGTTCGTGAAATTTATGCGACGTGGTATCGCGAACTTGCGTATCTGCAGTAATGGTTTTAACGATTTACCTCGAGGATTACAGAAGGTTGGGTAACATTGAGATGGGAGAGGAGAGAATAAAATTGTCTCCCTCTCCTTTTTGTTGTTTACATCAGTAAAGATATGAATATTGTTGTTCACAATTTTTTATTCAGTTGACATCCAATCACGACATATTTTTATAGCTTGATAAAAAATAATCAATAGCCTATAACCATAAATATTCTACAATATAATAGTATTGTCACTTGTAGAACTAAAACTGAATTTTTCTGCACCTATCCATATTCGTTCATTTATTCTCAAATTGGGAGCCTCCAGGTCTTTGGAAAATAATTAAAATATTTTTTCAAAAATTCTACTTTACTGAATGCAATAACTCATCGATTTCTAATGGCCGCAAATAAAAAGTTTCATTCCGTTGGTATATAGAAATTCGATGTGCTCTAATGCGCATTGCTACATCATTGATTGGGCCAATAATCATTGCCTGGAACTATACATTGATAAGGTTCGTTGTATATTTTCTGGGCCAGACCTCTTTTCAACGCTTGACGTTTCAATGACGCAGATGGAAATTCATATTTCACGGCGAAGGGAGCTCGCGATAAATTCTCATATTTCTCTTCTGCCGTTTTTGATGCTGATAACTGTCATTAGTATCCACCTTTTGTAAAGATGTGGCATTGTATGTTTTGTATCATGTTCCTCCACTGTGGAGATACTTGTATGGATGGCGTGTCTCTTTTCAGAAACATTAGTAGCATTTCCCAGGAAGTTTTAAAGGGTGATAATTTGTCTCGTAAGTCACGCAACCTTCTCGGAAAGGATAATGCTATGCTATTTCTTTCTTCCTTGAGGTTCCGAGAGTGAAAGGGAAACACGAGGATGTGGCGAGATGTTCCTTTTAGGTAGTCAAGTTAGCAACGGAAGTGGCTTTTACGCCGAAAAGGCATAATTATAAAATTGCAAACTTAAAACTTGCCCCATTTTGCTGCCATTTTATAAGTCACTTGCATGTTGAAAAGTCAACCTAATTCTATTATTTCACTACACAACCAAACGCTTCCATTACTGCGTTCTTTTTTTACATAAGCTCTTGAAATTAAAAAAACCTCAGCAATATAGTTCTTACAATTGCCCCGAAAATAAAAAAAAAATACTTTTGATCATTACCCTTATTAACGACGATTACGTATTGATGATTGCAAGACCCATTTTAAAAACAATGTTCATAATGAAGTTGCTTCTAGAAGAATATTGATGTCAACTGCTCTCGTACTACAAACCAGTGAGTGTGGTCCCGGAACAATCGCTGTGTCGCCACAGGTAGCAGGGGTGGCGACAGTAGGTCAGGCAGCGCGGCTGGGCACGCGGCCAGCCTGATTATTTATACTGCCTTTCGACGCGCGGTAATGTATTATTAATACGCCCACCAGCAGCCCGACAAGTCCGACGCCCGGCACCCGCACTCGCGCCCGGGCCCGGGCACGCGGCGTGCGCCTCGCTCGTAATTTATGGCTGCACATTCTTATGAAAATGCACGTTATGTATGGCGTCAATAACGGCGCCTGTAGTACGCGCAGACACCGCACGGCCTCGCATTGCTACACCCGTTCTCGTCTCCTGCCTCTCCTCGTTCCCACTCTCTCACTCACTCACTCACTCACTCTCTCTCTCCTCTCTCTCTCCTCTCTCTCTCCTCTCTCTCACACACGCACACAGATACACATACACACTATATCCTTTTTCTCTCTTACTTTCCCTTACTTCCTCTCTTTTCCTTCCTTTCTTACCCTGTCTACTTAAACAGAAAGGACAGAGCTACAATTGCTCTACGCTGGAATGATTGGTTTGAATTCCGCATAAGCTGTAAATGTTTTCTCCGTGGTAGTGTTGGGCAAGGGCCAATAACCACTAATTTCCATGCTTCACCTTATGAATCATCAATCGTCATTTAATAATTGCTCAGGAAATCTAAATACTGTTCTCTGAATGGACGTCAATATCCTGTTGAGGATATAGCACTAGAAAGATATTCTTATATCTTTTTCCTGCTTGTTACCTGTTCTTCCATGCCAAACCGACGCACTATGTTGCTTCGTATTTCTCGTCTCATGTCTCCCATCAACTCCCGCTACATCACCTCGTCGACAAGTTAGTGACATGGGACTGTTATTAATATCCCAAACGCTCTTGGCGTCTCTAAGCGCCACTACACTCTCCTCTTCTCTCAACGGTCTAATACCAATTAGTGCCTCATTTTGCTTCACCGTAATTTATTAATTAGCGAACGAGTCATCAATCTCCCTTGCTACAAGACTTGACCTTGCGTATCTATCATAGGAGATTGTTCTCTTCTATAGCGTCTCATCGGTCATAAGCATCGTCAAATTCTCTTCAATTCCTTGCACTACCATTATCACGCATGGCGCCTCTTGTGCCATTAGCGTAATGGCAGGGGCCCCCTTCCAATGCTGAAACCGCAAGTTCGACCCACTACCGCAGCCTCCGGCAGTAGTCTCCGCCAGGCACGGACCGCACTCCTACTTGTGGACCACAGACTGTCGTCATTTGCCTATCGTGGCCACGACTTGTCCTGAAGTCTGAAACTGTGGGCACTCTCACGCTGGCTTTCGTCGTCGCGCCAACGCCTTCCCTTCCTTTTTTGCTCATAACGCGACCATTATAAAGGCAGAGGTGTCTCTACCGTGCGCTATCCCTCTGGTCAATGAATTTTGAACGCGGGTTTGTGGGTCGTAAGAACTATGTATTAAATTCCTATTTACTCTACCAAGATGATCTCAACCAAGGTGTTCTCGTGTACTCTCTCATTTGCCCTTTGACTCTGTTCCTGCACCTATCTCAATGACACTTCATAAAATCAGCTTTCTTATATAAATTTCATCTCAATCTTCATTACTTCATACATTACTGTTCAGTTTTTTTCTCGCTCTATACGCAATCAATTCCATTTCAAATCAACTCTCGGTCTATTCAGTCAACATATCTCTTCCTCCCCATTCCCTTCGGAGCTGCGTATGTCTCTCTCTCTTAGTATCCACAGAGCAATGCCAAGCACCAAGCATCCAAACCGTCGATTCCATGTCCAACGTAGTTCTTATCGCTACGTCCTATCTCCTCTCTGTTGAGCCACCTGTCTTCTAAGCATACCCAGCTCTGACGCAACCACTGACCGGTGCGACGGCGGTTCTAGCGTGCGGCCCCAGCCTCGCCTAGCAGACCGCATCCCCGCCACCCTCACCGCCCCGCCCACTGCTGCTGGGCCATGGGATTTATGACGCGTCCGCTGCATCGCGCGCAGCGCAGCTCAGCCTCGCTCCCGGCGGCGCGGCGTGGGAGCGGTGACCGGGGCGGGGCGGGGCCCGGCGGCGGGGAGGGGTAACGCGAGGAGGGGCGGGGCGAGCGGAGCGGACCCGCCGCCTGACGTGTTCGCGGCGACCGCAGACGGCCGCGGCCGCGCCGCGTGACAAGTGTTCGGCGCGGCCAAGATGGCGTGTCGCGGCAGGCGATGCGGTGGGTCTCGCTGGCCCCGAACCCGCTCATCCCCCTGGTGGCGACGCCAACGCCGACGCTGATGGCGCGCCCCTAACGGCCGCCCGGAATGGCGCGCGTAACGACGCCTGTGGCGCCGCTGGCGCGCGTGCGGCGTGGCCGCGAGAAGTGCCAGTACTCACCCGTTCCCACTCCCACCATCACCTCCACGCCTCGCTCCAGCCCTCGTTTCAAACACCCCCACCCCAGAATTCTCCCGACCTCGCCCGGCGACAGGAATGGGCCGCAGTAGCTACGCAGGCGTATGGCACGGTTCTCTCTCGTATTCGATGCATTCCGCATCTCGTCATGAGAACTGCTTAGGCTGGCTGAGCCTAACCAACCTCAGGAGGAGGCGCACTTATTCCACATAGTTTATTTAATATTTTCATAGTTTTCAATGCCAATGTATGTTTCTATAAAATTTCCCTAAACTTTTCATCTGAAAACTGCTGTTAATATAACCCAAATGTGTTCATGAGAGACACAGTTAATCAGATCAAACTTCTTTCCCTCAACAAATCGGTCAGAAATTTTCTCTACGAAAAATATCTAAATTAAATCGATAATGTACTAATATTATACTGGTTCAAATAGGATCTTCCTGCCTTATCAGATGTGGTTACTCAGGGCAACGATTAAACACATATTTATTTTTGACTTTTCTTTAAATTCTGTAAACTGATATCATTTTTTTAGTAAGAACCTAAGCAGTCATGTCCCCTATCATAAGTTACGGTTTTACTCCTGTTTGACTGAGCTTAACTCACGCTAAACAAGATATGTTGTAATTAGGCGTAATCCTTTGTCAATTTCTGAAAATAGAAGAATTGCAGAAAGTGCTTTTAAAAATTTAGTATTCCAAATACTCTTTTTTCTTGTAAAATACTTCGTCTATTTGACTCTTACATTCTTTATTCCTCAAACAGAAAAGTATCGATCAGAGATCGCAAATTCATCAATAATTTACAAGAATAAGGTTTTTGACCTTTTTTGTCTAAGAGGGTCTGTTCACCGAAAGAGGTCATCTAGGGAAAACATGCAATAACGTCAACCAGAATTAAATCTAAATACCGCAAAGAAATATTCAATCCTAATTAACTTAGAGAAATATTTTTATGCTGATCTTCTACTCATTGTTCATTTTTCAAAGACAAATAATAAATTTTCTTCCCAACATCACTGTCTAAATTTGTTTTAAATCTTATTTATCTTCATCATCATCATATGAAATTTGATGCCATAAATCCTTATGACGTATGTAATATATTCATCCTCCTGGAAGACAATAAAAGTCGAAAAGGATGGAATAAATTGAAAAAAGGAAGGGGGGCAAGTATGAACACTTTATGGCACTGGTTGTACTTGACTCAGTAGAAGCTTAAGTACTTTTTCATAGAAAACCATCGTCCAGAGCACTGTTTATCCTTGATATGAGCAATGTTACAGTTCATAAGAACGATTTTATCCATCATTGTAACGAGGCTGTCATCAGCGGGAGTTCAGAGGTCATTCCTTGTCATTGGATGACACTGATGCAACTTCTGACTCAGTACAATCTTATAGTATTTTTTTAAATTTATTTAAGCTTGGTCATTGGCCCTCTGCAGCCGGCTAAGACAAAAGCATTGATACGAGATATATACAGTAATCATTATATAGACAATTCTAGTTTAGACATAATATAATATAGTGGCTATATATCTCGTACTTTATAATAAAAAGAATAGACTCATCAGTTATTGTCCATGGGCGGCGAAAAATTATCTTGGTAACTTTCTTATTAATCCTTTGCGATGAAGATTTTATCCTCTGAGGAAATGAATAGGTAAAGTTATCTTTAATATTTAGGAATAGAATTTTGCAGATAAGAGGGAGAAGTGGACGGAAACTTACATTCTTCATTCGTCAAATAGAAAACCGTCGTTCAGGGCACTGTTTTCTCTACATATATACAATATAATAGTCTACAAGAACGATTTTATCCCTCATTGTAACGAGGTTCTCATCAGCGGGAGTTTAGAGGCCCCGCGTTGGCATCCGATGACAGTGGGTGAATAGCGCAGCGGCCTCCCCTCCTCGGCGGGAGGGCGGGGCCCGGACCGGCGTCGGGCGAGGGCGAGGGCGGGGAGAGGAAGAAGAGCGCGTGGCGAGGTGCCGGGCCTGTAAGTAATTGCGCCGGATCGCGCGACAAGAAAACTCGCCGGGATTCATTAATATCCGAGTGGCTTTCATGCCCAGCGCATGAACTCTGGAGTAGTGTGTTTACTTTGCGGAACTCTCGAGGCATCCAGCTTCTCCGCTTCTATCCTCCCTCGCCGACGCCCCCCCCCCCCCCC